TCTCACACATCTGCCACTATATTTTCTTCACCTTTTGAGCTTATTTTTACTAACCTATGGGGGCCAACACCAATAAAATCTTTTGATGGATATACTTATTATATGTCCTTTATTAATGCATATTCAAGATATACATGGATTTATTTCCTCAAAAACAAATCAGAAGCTCTCTCTGCATTCAAAAATTTCTATACCTATATCAATACTCAATTCTCTTCTTCTATAAATTAAAGTCAGTTCAATCAGACTGGGGTGTTGAATTCAGACCCTTCACCTCATTTCTTACTGAAAAAGTTATAACACATAGACTCATTTGTCCTCATACTCACCATCAAAATGGTGTAGTAGAAAGAAAACATAGGTCCATTGTTGAAAAAGGACTAACACTTTTAGCTCATTCCTCTCTTCCTTTCAAGTTTTGGGATGTTGCCTTTGCTACAGCAGTTCATCTCATTAACAGGAACTCCCTCAGCCTCTATATCCAATCAAATTCCCTACACAAAGCTCTACAAATCTATTCCAGATTACGCCTTTTTAAAAGTTTTTGGATGTTCATGCTATCCTTTCCTAAGACCATACCATAAACATAAATTTGATTTTCATTCTGAAGAATGTGTTTTCATAGGATATTCTCCTCAACACAAAGGCTATAAATGCCTAGCAGCATCTGACAAAATATATATATCAAAAGATGTTGTATTTGATGAATCAAAATTTCCTATCCTACCATGTTCTCTAAAACCACTTCTACTGAACAATCCAATTCCATCCTCAATTCACCTCTAACTGTTCTATATAATCTACCCTCTCCATCTATGTCAAGTTCTGATTCTATTACACCCTCAGTATCTCCACACAACAATGACAATAATCAACCTTTAACTAACTGCACTCAAACTCCTTCCAATCACACTGAGTCTGAATCTCCCACTTCACACTCGCAGTCATCTCAGTCCAATTCTCAGTCATCTCATTATACTTCCAAATCCTTCCAGTCCGTCTCACAATCAAACAACTCTAATTCTACATCTTCTCAACTTGGTTCTGAATCTTCTAGTTCTAATACTTCACCTACCATCACTGCTCATATCTCCTTAGTTCCATCTTATAACACTCATCCTATGAACACTAGAGCCAAATCAGGAATAGTAAAACCTAGACTTAATCTAACCTTGCTCCTTGCTTATAATGAGCCAACATCAGTTAGGCAAGCTCTTACCTCACCTGAGTGGTTCCAGGCTATGAAGACAGAATACAATGCTCTAATGAACAATAACACATGGTCTCTCACTACTCTACCACCTGATAAACATGCCATTGGGTGTTTAGGGTAAAAGAAAATCATGATGGAACTGTTAACAAATTTAAAGCCACACTTGTTGCAAAAGGTTTCCATCAACAGTTTGGCTTTGATTTCAGTGAAACCTTCTCCCCAGTGGTAAAACCCATAACTATCATAATTTTATTAACAATTGCTATCTCTAATTCATGGACTATACAGCAACTTGATGTCCATAATGCTTTTCTCAATGGTGAATTACAAGAAGAGGTTTACATGGTACAACCTCCAGGATTTCAATCCTCAAATAAAACACTAGTCTGCAAGCTAAATAAAGCTATATATAGTTTAAAACAAGCTCCTAGAGCTTGGTTTTTGAAACTTACAGCAACTTTATATTCATTTGGTTTTAAACAGTCAAAGTGTGATGCTTCACCACTGTTCTACATCTCAACAACACTCAGATCTTTGTGCTCATCTACGTTAATGATATTCTGATTCTTGGAAACAATACTACTGCCATTCAGCAACTTATTCACAGACTTGACTCCAATTTTGCACTAAAACACTTGGGTTAACTTGACTACTTTTTGGGAATAGAGACTCATAAATTATCTGATGGAAGTTTGCATCTCTCGCAGACCAAATATATCAGGGATTTGTTAGATAAAGATGAGATGAAAGACTCTAAAGGCATCACCATACTTATGCTCAGCAGTTGCAGATTACTAAATGAGGGTTCCAACTATGTCGGTGATGCTACACTTTACAGGTCTATTGTAGGAGCACTACAATATGCCACCTTAACCAGACCTGAAATTAGCTATGCAGTCAACAAGGTATGTCAGTTCATGGCATCACCTCTGGAAGATCATTGGAAGGCAGTGAAACGTATTTTAAGATGCCTATCTGGTACTCTTAAACATGGTCTTCTTCTGCAATCTATAATTTCCAAGTCACCTGTTCAGCTAAGGGCCTTTTGTGATGCAGATTGGGCCTCAGATCCCAATGATAGAAGATCTACATTTGGAACCTGTGTATTTCTAGGATCTAATCTCATATCTTGGTGGTCAAGAAAGCGGCTGTGTGTAGCCAGATCCTCAGCTGATACTGTTTAGCTGAACAGTATCATATGGATTCAATACCTTCTCAGGAAATTCAAGTACTATGCTCCATTCCTCATATCTATTGTGACAATCTCAGTGCTGTACATATAGCTCAGAATCCTGTTTTCCATTCAAGAATCAAACATATGGAGCTTGACCTTTATTTTGTCAGAGAGAAGATCCTTCATAAGAGACTTGAAGTGAAGCATATTCCTGGCCCTTATCAAGTTGCTGATGTGCTAACTAAACCACTTTCACCCTCCAGATTTATTGAGTTGAAAAACAAACTCAGTGTGATGGATTTAACAAAGAAGCCACACTGAGTTTGAGGGGGGGGGGATATTAGGAATATAGTTTGTTAGATATATACCTAACTAACCGACTACTGTTAAGTCATCCGTATAGTAGTTAGTTCTAGCAGTTTCTATATCATTTCTACAAATAGTATGTAAAGTGGTTTACACATCAATAATATCATTTGAGCATTTCTTCTGAATTCTGTTATACTCTGTTTATCAATAAAGCTAAACAAATGTTTCAATGTCCTTGCTTGAGATTAATCCACAACCTAACAATATGGATTGGACGTGATGATTAACACTGGTAAATGGTGCAAATGGCATGACATAGAGATTAGTTAGATAAGTGGTGTTAAATGCGATGACATCTCCAAAGTCTTTATAAGCATATCTACAATGATTTTCGGCCCAAAATACATTTTTCAACCTTGACTCTTCATCTAAATCAACGGTAAAAAAAATCGGGGCATTGCGATTGCATTCTCTAAAAAACCTCGGATTGCCATTGCATCAGCACTTCCTAATCGAACTTGGCGTATTTTATTTACGTAGTACTGAAAATCCTTCTCAATAAAAGGCAATTGATCATATCCACCCGCTTGAACAACCGCCGAGTTGAAACTTTTGTGAAGCGGCATTCCGGAAAACATCATTTATTGCTAGTTGTCTCTTCATATGAGGAGTAAGCTGTCTATTGCAACGAAATATTCTTGACTTTGTAGGACTCATTTCATGGTTATGTTCTAAACGAACTTTGAATTTCCCATGACCCGACATAATCAAAATGTGCTTTAATTCTTGCTAAGCATTGTGATTGCATTGAAGGGTGGGGTTTCAAACAATTTTGGGACTTGCTACATCTACGCCCCGCACGAGAACGCTCTATTACTACTCTCACTAAAAATCCTCCACTTTTGCCTTTGATTGATGTTCTTTTTCATACACGAAATCTGCTATATTTCTAGCATATTTTGCATAAAAATCATACACTTCTTCCATGCTACAAAACTTTATGCCCACTTATGGAGCTTTAACATTGTTATTATCTCCCTGTCCATCTGTTACACAATACTCATATTTACATTTTTGTGTCTCTAAACACAAACACAGATAGTAGTTGTCTGCAGTAAACAAACAATATTTGTCTGTATACAAACATTAATTAGCTGTTTGTCTATACTAATATCTATAATACGTCTTTTAAGAACTCTTTTTCATAGATAAGCCATGCATGTACACATGGATTGCATTTCCAACTTGTATTTGTGTTCACATTAATACAAGAAACACCATAAACACCTTTTCCACACTATTTATCTGTACACAATCATTAATTAGTTGTTTGTCTATACTAATATCTATTGTACGTCTTTTAAGAACTCATGTTCGTAAATAAGTCATGCATGTACACATGGATTGCATTACCAACTCGTCTTTGTGTTCATATTAATACAAAAAACACCATAAACACCTTTTACACACTAATTGTCTGTATGCAGATATTAGTTGTTCGTGTATATTAGTTGTATGTGTACACATCAATCACAAGTCATCTGTGTACACATGGACTGCAAGAAGAACTCATTTTCTTTTTCAAAAAAATACAAAAATTAAGAGAATACACAATAAACGCCTTCTAAACAGCTACCTAAATCATACATGGCGTCCATGTTCATGTTCAATCGTTCCCTATTGTTTACAGTGGTATTACCATCCCTTGTTGCCGTCGTTGTTCCCATCAACAAGTCTTCATTCCAATCTTCTTCAGTTGGTGGTGTTATAAAATCCATTCCAAAACAATGAAAAAAATGGACCCTTATAATAGGAGAGTGAAGAGGGTGATGTCACTGATATCTACCAAGGAAGCTTGGAGAGGAAGAAGAATAATACGGAGTAAAAGAGAGAGAAAGTAAAGAAGCATGTGTAGTGTGGTGTGTGAAGGAGGTAAAATTTGGTTAAAAAAATCTTTTTATAGTATGTACACATATGTGTAAATGTGTGTGTACACTAAGCCCAACTCTTACTAAATTTGCCCTTTGTTACGTGAGTTACGCTAGGTGTACATATCTTTTTTTACAATCAAAACAGATGACTTAAATTCAAATCACACCATTCAGATAGGGGTAAAATGACAAAAGATCCACATGCAACCGCCAACCATCATAATAGACTTAGAGTTAATCAACTCCAAAAAAGCAACATAACACATTGAACACATTTTGATTTACACTTTTATTGAACACATTTTGATTTACACTTTTCTACGCTATCTGTGTGATACAAAGAATTATTTATACATGTACAACTTCTGTGCAACTGAGGTAACGATTGACTTTACAAATTTTCTTGTCACGTATCATCTCACCAACCCGCGCTTCTCGCGATGGCATCATCAATCCCTCACAAACCTGGCCTACCAGTGACAAATTTCCAAGAATTCTGAGTATATATATTTTCAGAGTCCTCAACAGATTTGAAGTCTCACACACTTTTGCCCTTTCACTCAAAAGATTGCAAGATTCTCTTCAAGCAAACAAATAGGGGACAATGGAGTGCGAAGGAATTCTCTTGGGGATGGGTAACCCACTCCTCGACATTTCTGCTGTCGTCGACCATGAATTCTTGAACAAGTATGTTACACTGAAATCCAATCCTTTCGATTTCTCATGCTTCCATTGTTTTTGTTTCAATCTCTTCTACCTTTCTCTTCCTTTCTGGAGGATCGACTTTGTGATGTGTTGTCTGGATTCCTAGATCTGTCTGAATCTCTAGATCTCTTATTTTAGCTTGTTGCGCGCTTGTATCGTTTGATGACTTTGATCTTTAATTCATGGATCCTATTCGGTAGAACCTGATGCTGTTGTTGTTAATATGTATTGATGCTGTCGTTTTCTGTGGGGCTTGTTTGGCATTGACATCTTCTTTTGACTGATAGGTACGATATCAAGCTGAACAATGCAATTCTTGCCGATGAAAAGCACTTGCCTATGTAAGTATTTGTGCTCTTTAATCACCTGCAGTTTTGCCCGCCTCATTACGCTTTTAGTCCCGAATAGGAGCTGAATGTAGAAGACAATCTCATGCTCATCTTAAGATAAGAAAGCAGGATCAAGATGTGAACTTGTGAATATATTACTTGAGCCAATTGTGGGAGGATGGGCCATTGACCAATGACAGTATAATACTATGGATCATGTACTGTGATGATTGTTTAGGTGCTTTTAAGTTTTAACTGATGCTCTTAGACTTGTTTGTTTGTCAGGTATGAAGAAATGACATCTAAGTACAATGTTGAGTACATTGCTGGAGGTACAGACTTTAAAGTTCAAGAGATGGTTTATCACGTTCTTCTGTTATGTTTCAGTCGGACTTTTCATTTACTTTGTTGGTTGTTAATTTTGTATTGCAGGTGCAACGCAGAATTCAATCAGGGTTGCTCAGGTATCACATTATTATTGCAGTCTATGGTTATGGTTATGACAACTGATTGACAATAGCTGGTTGTGTCAGCTATTTTAGTTAGATGATAATGTTAGCTGATTGTCAGCAAATCTGTGGTAAATTAACTGTTCAAAAATAGTTGTTTGCGTGTAAAAAGACATAAGGACATTGTATTCAATTTTATTTTTGTTGTTAAGACCTACTCCAGTACGGCATACATCTATGGAGTGTCATAGTTTTCAGGCAGGTCTAGATATTTTTTTCTCTTGATCATACATTTTCCCCTTTTTTTATACCAATGGCTCAATTATTCAAACGGTCGATCATGAAAGCAGGCCTCCCTTTCGTAAATTTGTGCTTTGGGTTAGTCAACTAGTCAATGTTGGTGGGTGAGCCATGCTCCTTATCTTCGCCCACATTAGTAGAGTTATGTGTATGCACAAGCTTTTCAGATTATAAACAAAAACAAATGTTAATCCTTCCTCATATATATATATATATATATATATATATATATATATAGATTTAAGTTCATGTGAGAACTTAATCTTAGGAGAGTAAAAAAGAACAAATCTTAACCATTGGATTAAACCTTTTCAAATAAAGACGTTTCTCTATAGTAAAGGGCAAAATGGATATTTTATCTTCTTAGATAAGAAGATATGGTAATACGGTTCTTTCCATAACTTCCTCCCTATATTTTTGGTCCAATTATAACTCTCAGTATGTGCCTACCTCTTGCCATACACGTGTAAAAGTAATTTTGCATCACTATCTTTTTTAAATATTTAATTGATTAAACTATTTATCATTACTCTTTATGTTCAAATAATCAAATATGCATTCTGCGATCTAGGAATTCACAATACATGGTGCACAGTTGCACACCTACACTTCACTTAATGCACATTTGCAATATATATTCAAATAAAACTAATGTGCATTAAGAGATGTTTGTTCTTGCACTTTTACGTATTATCATTGCATAAATTTTACATTTGTTGAATGCACTAATATAACTTTTAGATTTGTAGGTTTGCACCCACTGTTAGTGTACGGTGCACTTATATTATCATTTGATGCATAATACGTTTTTAATATGGACCAATTTCATGATAGCTATTTATTTAATTTCAAGATAGTAACTATCATTTTTCTAGTAAACTTTTGTTGCACTTATCATACTCTATTCATGCACTTCATTATTCCTTTAGTTTACTATTGTGCAAATACACACATGAAACCACTTAATATGACATTATTATATTATAATGGAAAATTTATGATGATTTTGGAAGAAAAGTGCATTTTATTTTATTAAAAATGCGATGTAAAGTTTTAGAGTGTGTGATATATATTAGTGCACTTTTATTCTTATTTACAATGCACATTTATAAAACTGCAATTTATTTAATAAAATAGTGCGAATGTGGAAATTAAACTTTGAAAGTGTAATAATACATTGGACTTTTGTATATATTTAAAATGCACATGGTAGTTCTTAACTTTCACTCTTGTATACTTAAATTTATTCATTTTTTGAAATAGGTTTGAATGTGTACAATTGCACGTACGCATAATATAATGTGTAAACTTTTAAAATAGAAAATGCAAACTAATCACTTAAGAGTGCAGTTTACAAAAATGCAAATTAATTTAATAAACACACCATCTCTCGAGAATGCAAAAATATCCAAATATTCAAATAAATTGATTTTGCATAGTGATTTTAATAAAGTGAAACTTTTTGCATAAAAGTGCACAAAGAAAGTATAGGTGGAAGGAATATGGCATATGGAAACGGTTAAATATGAAAAAGATGCACAATTGGAATTAATTTTTTAATCATACTAGTTATCCGATTATATGTGATGAAATACTAATTTGAGAAAAATGCGAAACTAATTATTAAATTAAGGAGTAACTCCTCATTAATGATTATCCTTATTTATAGGATGTCTTTCCTATTATGATGGTACGTGCATGACACATATCTAAATGAAATTTACCACAGTATCCTTCATTTAATATTCAGTTACACACCTTCCTTATCTACTAATTGAATGATCGGAATAGCATACAAATTAACCTCTTTTTATAAAAAAAACAAGGCCATCCGATTAAGTAAATTGAAGGCTAGATTTTGTTCTTTTTTACTCTCCTAAGAGGGTGTTCTCACAGGAACTAATCCCTATATATATATATATATATATATATATATATATATATCAGGCTGTAACTATAGTTAATACGTAGTACATAGGAATTTCAACACCAACTTCAAAGCCTATTAAGATAGAAAGAAATAGAGGAACAAAACATAGAATGAACACACAGAGCATGTAGCCAATATAGAAGAAAAAAACAGAAAAGGATGCAAAAATTAATAAGAATACAAACCTCTTTGTTTCTTTATGGCTGGAGAATACTCTTCTACGAAGGATTTGTAGATGGCAGAAGATTTCCTGAAGCTGAGGCACTGCCAAAGAGTAAGAAGACACGAAGGAGGCAATAGATACTATCTATATGAAGAGGTGTGAAATCAGAGGGTACAAAAGGGATAAAACGGAACAGCCAACTTGAAACGCTGCCCTCCCTAGCGTTTGAGATTTCAGCTTTTTGGGTCCAACAATCTAAATCAACCATCTGTTTACTAAACAATAATTTTAGCGGGTTAGATGGTCAAAAGCATTAATTACAGTTTACAGTCAAACAAACCAAAAATTGGCTGATAAGCCATTTACCAAACATGGCCTAAATTGAATTTACTTTCGATTATTGACTTCAATAAGTCTCAACAAGCATGTTCAATTCATAATCTGTAAATCTGTATTCTGGATCTACTTAAAAATGATGTAAGGTTTACCAAACTGACTTTTTGTATAGATTAAAGAACAAGTACAAAAAAAGATTAAGATATACATACAACCCGTATCTTGCATTTTTGCAGTGGATGCTTCAAAAACCGGGTGCCACCAGTTTCATGGGTTGTATTGGAAAGGACAAGTTTGGGGAAGAGATGAAGAAAAATGCAAAAGAATATGGTGTTAAGGTAAAATTTTCCTCTATTTTATTTTATGGGGCCTATTACTACCATATATTTGTTGATTAAACAATTTTAGTATTCCAACTATCTGCTGTTTGCCTTGAGTCTGTTATCGTTGATGATTCATATTCTTTTACGCTTCGACATGTTCAGGTTCACTATTATGAGCATGAGACTACGGCAACAGGTACTTGTGCTGTTTGTGTGCTTGATGGTGAGAGGTAAGCAATGTTCAAAAATCAAAATTACATATTGCATAGTCGTGGGCCTCGTGGCCGTTTTTAAAAAATTGAATATTGTGTAAGCCTTGCTGCGCAATGAAACATAGGAGTGAGGCTTAACATATATACATATGTGTGTGTGTATACAAACAAAATAAAAACTAAAACAACTTATTAATCAAAAGTCATCAAATGTCATATTAAAATCTAAGTAGCAGCGGGATAGAAACGGTAATAGGGAAACTCTAATCTCAAAATATCAAGATACGAGTATGACATAGGGATGTCAAACTAAATATTAATATTAATATTTTACTAATAAAAATAGATAACCATTATATGAGGTTATGTTTATGTCCAAAAAATATGTTTACGTTTCTACTCTTCAAAACCACATTTTTTCTAATGTGATACACAAAATATGGCTACTGTACAGGTCTCTCATAGCCAACTTGTCTGCTGCAAATTGCTACAAGTCTGAACATTTGAAGAGACCTGAAAATTGGGCTTTGGGTATGCTTCATTTCACTATGTCCACCTTCTACATTCTTTATTTACATTTTATTAACATTTATTGCTGGATTGTTTACATTAGTTGAGAAGGCCAAGTACTACTACATTGCTGGATTCTTCCTTACTGTTTCCCCGGAATCCATTATGCTTGTTGCTGAGCATGCAGCTGCCAACAACAAGGTATGATTCAATATTTGAAGGCTGAATTTGTTAATACATATTTTGAGGATGTGACTAATATCTGAGTGCCACACATTGATGTTTGATTACTTATAGTTGTTCATGATGAACCTTTCTGCACCATTTATTTGTGAGTTTTTCCGGGAAGTACAAGAGAAGGCATTGCCGTAAGTCATATATTTCTTATTTTAAAATAATTGATTCGATAAGTGGCAACTTATATTCATTTTACTATTACTGTTTCGGATGTTCAGGTATGTGGACTATATCTTTGGAAATGAGACAGAGGCAAGAACCTTTTCTAAAGTTCATGGTTGGGAGGTAATGCTTGTTTTTGCATATCATTTTCTTCATTTGACCTTTTAGGGTCAGCTGGGAACTCAGAAAATTGCAAGTAAAAAAAAAAATCAAATAACCTACAACAACAATACCATTCAAGCCTTCTTCCCAAAAGATTTTGGGGTTGTCTAACATGAATCGGTCCATGATATCAGAGTAAAAAAACACAAGGTAAGATAAAAAGTATAAGATAAAGATTTATATAAATATAAGATAAAAGAGCATATGAAAGATAAAAAGTAAAAATAACATAAGAACATTGATAGATACTCAAGCAAACAGTAGAAAGTAGTAATTTATTGATGAAGTTTTCAGAACTTTAACGGGAATACAGTAGCGTCGACAGAAATAAGAGAAGAAATAGATCAAGACATTTCGAGTTGTCTCAACTCTCTCTTTTATTTCTATATATAGGTCCTGCCTTATTTATTTTGCCCATAGTTACAGAAATCGCTAGACATGCCACGATCTGCGTTCAATAGGGCTTCTGCCTATGATATGTAATAGGTCTTCCTTCCTGCATTAGTACTGCTACTATTCCTTTGCGTGATGCGTCAGTCTCAACTATAAAGGTTTTATTAAGACAGGAAGAGTAGTCATTGCTCTCTTCAACTTTTCAAATGCTTCTGTGGCTTGTTGATTCCATATGAATGCTTCCTTCCTTAAAAGGTTAGTCAGAGGTGCTGCAATTCTGCTATCCCCTTAACAAACTTCCTGTAATACTCTGTCAGACCTAGGAATCCTTTGAGCCCGTTAACATCTTTGGGTATTTGCCAATTCAACATGTCTGCAATTTTTGATGGGTCTGCTGCCACTCCTGATATGATATGCCCTAAGTAAGACAGTTCAGATTTCCCAAAGCTGCATTTCTTTCTGTTAACATACAATTAATGTTCTTCAAGAGTTTGCAAAACTGTTCTCAAGTGCCCCTTGTTCTTCCATGGAGGTGCTATAAATCAAATAATCTATATATCATTGAAAAAAACCAATACGAACTTCCTCAAATAAGATCCCAACACTTGGTTCATGAGGGCCTGAAAGGTTAAAGGAGCATTCGTGAGACCGAAAGGCATGACAAGGTATTCATAGTGGCCTTCATGTGTTCTAAAAGCTGTCTTACGCACATCAGATTCTTTCATCCGGATTTGATGATATCCTGACTTCAGATCTAGCTTAGTGGCAGCAACTCCTCTATCACCGGTATAGGGAATTTGTCTTGCACAGTTATCTTGTTCAAGGCTCGATAATCCTCACAGAATCTCCAGCCCCTTCTTTCTTTCTTGCCAATAACACAGGGATACTATAGGGGCTGGTGCTAGGCTGAATTATTCCGGAGTTCAATAATTCTTTCACTATTACTTCAAACTCATTCTTCTGGTAGTGTGGGTACCTGTATGGCCGAATATTGGGAATTGTTGCTCCTTTGTTATCGATAGAGTGATAAAAGTCCCTGTTTGGAGGGAGCCCCCGTGGGATCTGAAACAGCTCCGAATATTCCTCCACCAGTACTGTTAACAAATTCTCAGGCTCATCTTTTCTACTTTCTTCCTAGGGTCGTAAAATGCAGGTGAGATAATAGCCATGTCCTTGTTGCATGGTTTTGAGAAGTGTTTTCCATGATACTTGAGAATGGCCCAGATTAGGATTCCCTGGCACTCTCATCTTCTGTCCATCTTCCTTCCAATTCAGAGTTGATTTCTGGAAGTTAAATTGCACATCTCCCAACCGAGTCAACCATTCCAGCCCTAGAACCATATCTGTTCCTCCTAGTTCTAGGATATAGAAATCTTGGTTTATCACTAAGTCCTGCACCTTCACTTTCAACCCAGTACATATACCATTAATTCTGATTCCCAATTCTACCTGAAAACCTCCAATCTGTTTGAAGGGTAGGGCCAGCTAATATATTAAGCCCTGTGATATAAAATTGTTAGTGGCCCCACTATCAATCAAAATCACCACAGATCTGGCCTCCTCTCTGTCTTGAAGTTTCCCTTCCACTTTAAATGTTCTCTGAGTAGTGATTCCTTCCTTGCTAATTACTGGCAACTTCAATGTTTTATATTCACCAGCATCTTCCTCTTCCTCATGATGTTCTTCCTCTGTACTGGCAGTTTCCTCTTCTCCTTCAGGTGGTTCCAGGAGTACAAATTGATAATGCTTCAATTTGCCTATGTGCTTCTTGTTCTTATCTCCACACTTGAATCAAAGTCCCTTCTTAGTCCTTTCCTCCAATTCAAATTGGGACAGCCTCTGACCATTCTTCCACTAGTGTTAATTAGTCCTGAATTCTCGACTTTAGTTTCTGAGATGTTCCTATCTGTAGCAAGGGAAACCGTGGTAGAGTTTTTGTTCCTGTTTTCTTCCATCCAATTCAGAGGCCTGACTAAGCTTCTCCCTTGTCTTTCCAACCCCTTTTGTCTTCCTCTTTGTACTTTCCCTCCTCTCCAGGCTTTGTTTCTCTCTACCAACAGTAGTGCCTGATCCATGAGTTCATCCAATGATCCATCATAATACATTTTAAGATGAGCACTTAGCTCCTCCTTTAACCCATTTAAGAATATTCCCTTCAACATTACTGGACTGATATCTTTCTGAGTTGCTATTACTGACTCAAAGTTCTCCCAAAATTCCATCACACTTCCTGTTTGCTTCACGCTCAGCAGGGCTCCGAAGGCATTTTGCACCAATTCCGGTTGAAACCTCCGGATTAAGGCTTCCTTAAACTCTTCCCAATTGCTCTCGGCATTTTGCTCCTCCCATCGGTGAAACCAGTTCGATGCTCGACCTTCCATGGCTACCATAACCACTGGAACTCTGTCTTCATCCGATATGTTGTTCAGCTTAAAAAACCTTTCAGCCCTGATGATCCATCCATATGCCTCATCTCCACTGAATACCGGTAGATCTACTTTCCTACCGGTTTTCAATAAAGCATGACTATCCACTTTCTCGAATATGGAGTGCGATGAATGGGAGTGATGGAAATTACCTCCGTGCTTTGAGGATTTCCGACTCTGTATGGATCGTCTTCTTAGATGTGCGTGATCTTCCTCGCGAGTGGTGCTGCTTCTGGTTCGTCACCAGATTTCTCAGCTCGTCCATCGTCACATCCATCATCGCATCCATCATCTGTTCCACGTTCAGCATCCAGTTCCGCATTTCATCTACTGTCGATCGCAGCTCCTAAAAGCTGTGTTCCATCGATTCCACTCTATGTTCCATTCGTGCTCTAGTCCTGATCATTCACCGATGGGTTGTTTTGCTCTGATACCAATGATAGATACTCGAGCAAACAGTAGAAAGTAGTAATTTATTGATGAAGTTTTTAGAAATTTAATGGGATTACTGTAGCGTCGACAGGTAAAGAGAAGAATTATTTCTATACCTAGGTCGAGAGAAGAAATTTTAAGAGAAGACATAGATCGAGACATTTCGAGTAGTCTCAGCATTCACAGGTCGAGACTAATTTCTGCCTACACTCCTCTTTCTCTTTTATTTCTATATATAGGTCCCGCTTATACCACTAGTCCCGCCTTATTTATTCTGCATTTCTGCCCTACTCCTCTCCTTACATATACTTTATACAATTTTTAATAGTATTATTATTAGGTATTCCGCCTCTTTCTAAATCTTCATCATCAAGAAGATAAAAAGATAAAAGAAATAAGGAGAGAAAAAGAGAGAAAACAGATCAATCCTTCACACGAATATTTGCCCACCTCCACTCTGCTCTCTCCCAAATCATATTCTCATCCAATCCAAGAGAATATCACCCTTGGTTCATCTAATTCGTGTTTGTTTGAGTCTTCATGTTTCTCCTCCCCACATCTCAACTCGTCTAATATGTGGATTATTTGGTCTTCTTTGCACCTACCAAATCACTGTAATTGAGACCCTTGCATCTTATCTTCTATAGGTGCCATAGTTGTCACGGAGGCAAGGCGAGGCGCGACACCAACCGACCACCTTATCGCCTAGCCCGCCTAGATGACAACTAGGCGACGAGTCGCTCATATATAATATTTAAATATAACATGTAATAAAATAATATATTACAGATTATATTAAAAACATACTCCCTCCGTCCCAAAATGGTTGGCCAAATTTCCTTTTTTGGCCGTCCCAAAAAGGTTAGTCATTTCCATTTAAAATAAAGAATATGTGGTTAAAGTTAATTCTCTCTCCTCTGCACAAATTTCAACCACACAGTTTTTACTTTATTAATCCACGTGCAAGTCAACATTGGCCAACGATTTTGGGACGGAGGGAGTATATGAAGCAATGGATTATGTTTCTAGAAAAATGTCCAAATATGAATTTTCGCAAAGAAAATAACATATAATAGGTAATACGCAATAGTATAGCAGGCGTTTGGGACCATAGAGTGAATTTGATAAATGGTATGCAGCTCGACATGACTTAAAAGAAAGAGTAGGAGAAGTTTACTCTACATAAACAGTACATAAAAAATAGAAAAATGCATAATACATTTAGAAATATGGAGTCTAGCTGTCTGCCTAACCAAACAAAAGCCAAAAAATAAAGAACAACTAGCGAATTTAAAAACGGAAACGCCAACCAAGAGAAGTAAATGGAGGCAGAGGTGGAGCAACTGCACTATACAGCGATTTGAGGCGGCGACCTGCGGCAGCGACTCGACTAACAGGATGAACTGTTGCTGGGCCTAGGGTTTTGGCTCGCAGATTAATTTTAAAACTCAACTTTTTCTCTAACCTACTATTCTGTGTTGAAGTGGCAAAAACAGGCATTGGGCGTTGCCATCAACGACTTGGCAGCTTCAGGAGAGTCGAGTAAGCATGGCGCCACTTCTCCACAGCTAGGACGGCTAGTGGGCGCCGAGTTGGCATGCCTTCATCACACAAAAATCCTAATGCACTTTTCCATTTCACCCACCTTGTTTTGATTCTATGGAATATATCTTCATGAAGTTCACCGTCCTTCTGAAGATGATTATCTCCTTGCCATAGGTTTATCTCACTGTTACAGTTGAAGTCTTGAAGATGGGTTTCGAACCCCTCTGGGAAGAATTCACATGCATGAAGTTTATGTTTCCGCTGGGCCAAAGTCATTCAAAAAAATCAAATAATCTATAGAGGATATTTGGAAGGAAAGCAAATTTAGGGGGAATAATGACTACGAGATCTATATACAGTTAAATGTAAAAATAAATTTAAAAACTAGCAATTTTGTCTTCCTTCATTTCCTAAGGTAAAGTCAAGCATTAAAATATTAATTTTCTAACCAAAAGTCTTCCTTTCCCTACCATATCCCAGTTTCCATGCTTGGCTTCAGTCATTCTATATATGCTTCTAATTGTTTTGTTTTTCTAAAGCAGACTGATAATGTTGAAGAAATAGCACTCAAAATCTCACAGTGGGCTAAGGCATCAGGAACACACAAGAGGATCACTGTCATCACTCAGGGTGCAGATCCAGTTGTCATAGCAGAGGACGGGAAAGTGAAGCTGTATCCTGTGATAACTTTGCCGAAGGAGAAACTTGTTGACACTAATGGTGCAGGTTTGTGTTTACATCTCTGCCTGCCTGTGTGATCTTTTAAAAGTGAATGCAAATAGGAAAATTGACATAATTTGGGTGGTATGCAAGAGGTGTTTATAAGTTAAATCAAATGATTTTTTAAAGATAATCTATATATTTATTACTCCCTCCGTCCTGTTAAGACTGTCTTAGACACTATTCACTTGGTCAACACAAATCACTTTTAATCTCTTATTTTATATATCAAATTTTATCAAATTTGATTTTGGATTTTAGATTTTGTAAAGTTTTCAATGTAGTTTTTGAATATGTAATTTTTTTCTAAAAATAATTTGAGTGCGGACAGGGATCTGTTTGCTTTATCGTCGGTCAAGCATCGTAAACCAAATTGTCCCAAACATAGTGGGATGGAGGTAGTATTAGAAAAAGAATGAGCTCCACTTTTGGTTTTACGAGTATTGTACCAATCCCGCCATTGGTCCACATATTTGATTTTGCCCACTTTTGGTATGTTACTTGTTTCTTACTCACCTTTGGTCCTTCCATCTACATTTTTGGTGCTTAAAATTTTCTTTTAAGAGAATTGGTTTTGAGGTACATATTAAGGTGAGGTGTACATAAAAGGTTTCAAGGCTTAGGTTTTTCTGAAGAACAAGATTGCGCCTCAAAAGTCAACTGTATGCCTTGAAGCAATTTTCCTGTATTTCTATTTTTTTTTTAAATGTGATTGCAACTTAATAAAAGGCGCAACATTTTTCATTTACTAAAAAGCGCAGCGTTTTTCATTTCATAAAAGGCCCAGCGTTTTTCATTTCATAAAAGGCCCAGCGTTTTTCATTTCATAAAAGGCCCAACGTTTTTCATTTCATAAAAGGCCCAGCGTTTTTCATTTCATAAAAGGCCCAACGTTTTTCATTTCATAAAAGGCCCAACGTTTTTCATTTCATAAAAGGCCCAGCGTTTTTCATTTCATAAAAAGCCCAACGTTTTTCATTTCATAAAAGGCCCAGCGTTTTTCGTTTCATAAAAGGCCCAGCGTTTTTCGTTTCATAAAAGGCCAAGCGTTTTTCGTTTCATAAAAGTCCCAGCATTTTTCGTTTCATAAAAGGCCCAGCGTTTTTCGTTTCATAAAAGGCCCAGCGTTTTTCGTTTCATAAAAGGCCCAGCGTTTTTCGTTTCATAAAAGGCCCAGCGTTTTTCGTTTCACAAAAGGCCCAGCGTTTTTCGTTTCAGAAAAGGCCCGGCGTTTTTCGTTTCAGAAAAGGCCCGGCGTTTTTCGTTTCAGAAAAGGCCCGACGTTTTTTGTTTCAGAAAAGGCCCGACGTTTTTCGTTTCAGAAAAGGCCCAGCGTTTTTCGTTTCAGAAAAGGCCCAGCGTTTTTTCGTTTCAGAAAAGGCCCAGCGTTTTTTCGTTTCAGAAAAGGCCCAGCGTTTTTTCGTTTCAGAAAAGGCCCAGCGTTTTTTCGTTTCAGAAAAGGCCCAGCGTTTTTCGTTTCAGAAAAGGCCCAGCGTTTTTCGTTTCATAAAAGGCCCAACGTTTTTCGTTTCATAAAAGGCCCAGCGTTTTTCGTTTCATAAAAGACCCAGCGTTTTTCGTTTCATAAAAGGCCCAGCGTTTTTCGTTTCATAAAAGGCCCAGCGTTTTTCGTTTCATAAAAGGCCCAGCGTTTTTCGTTTCATAAAAGGCCCAGCGTTTTTCGTTTCATAAAAGGCCCAGCGTTTTTCGTTTCATAAAAGGCCCAGCGTTTTTCGTTTCATAAAAGGCCCAGCCTTTTTCGTTTCATAAAAGGCCCAGCGTTTTTCGTTTCATAAAAGGCCCAGCGTTTTTCGTTTCATAAAAGGCCCAACATTTTTCGTTTCATAAAAGGCCCAGCGTTTTTCGTTTCATAAAAGGCCCAGCGTTTTTCGTTTCATAAAAGGCCCAGCGTTTTTCGTTTCATAAATGGCCCAGCCTTTTTCGTTTCATAAATGGCCCAGCCTTTTTCGTTTCATAAATGGCCCAGCCTTTTTCGTTTCATAAATGGCCCAGCCTTTTTCGTTTCATAAATGGCCCAGCCTTTTTCGTTTCATAAAAGGCCCAGCCTTTTTCGTTTCGTAAAAGGCCCAGCCTTTTTCGTTTCGTAAAAGGCCCAGCCTTTTTCGTTTCGTAAAAGGCCCAGCCTTTTTCGTTTCGTAAAAGGCCCAGCCTTTTTCGTTTCGTAAAAGGCCCAGCCTTTTTCGTTTCGTAAAAGGCCCAGCCTTTTTCATTTCGTAAAAGGCCCAGCCTTTTTCATTTCGTAAAAGGCCTTCATTTCATTAAAGGCCTCGCGTCTTTCATCTAATAAAAGGCCCCTTTTAATAGAAGGCTCAATACTTCTCATCATTTAATAAAAGGCGTATCGGTTTTCATTTTATTTAATAAAAGGCTCATATATTAACATGTGTCCATTTTATTTAACAAGTCTTGTTTCATTTAAAATATCCATTTAAACCCTAATATATACTACCTCCATCTCCTTTTATGTGTCTTGTTTTAATTTGACGTAATTATTATTAATAAAGCGGGTGAAGAGTAAGGGGGTGTTTGGATGTACTTTGGAAACTGCTTCTGCTCCATACAGCAGATATTGTAGTGTTTGGGTGAAAGTGCAAAAGTACTTTTGGGTGCTCCAAATTGCTCATAGAAGCTAGAGGAGACGAGCTTTTGAGAAATTGATTCTGATTCTGCTTTTGCTTGAAAAAAAGAAGCAGGAGTAAAATCAATTCCAAACATTCCTAAGAGTTGAGGTTGAGTTTTGTGTATAAAGTAAAATCATATGGACCGCGCATTTCTTTCCTAAAAGGAAACAAGATACTTATTTTTGGGACAATCAAAAAAAGAAAGTAAGATGCGTAAAATGAGACGGAGGAGTACTTTCAATTAAGCACTTTCAGTGTCGATACATCAATAAACAGGTAATAAAAGTAAATGATAATGATGATGAAGAACTGAAGAAGAGAAAGAATTTAATGATTTTGATAGTGATGATGTAAGGGATGATGGAGATAAGGCTTTATTATTAGTTTAATTATTTTAAGTTTTATCATGAGTTTAACTATTATAAGTTTTATTTGGAGTATTTCAAGGCTTACGCCTCCCCTATGAAACAAAATGCCTTGATACCCAAACTAGTCTTTTTAAATATTGTTAAGAGATGCCAAAAACTTGGTCCAAAGGAACACAAATGTGCAATAAACAATAGTCATGAATCAAAAGAGGGTAAAGACAATGGCACAGACCCAATGTGAGACTGACATATATGTTGTATCAAAAGTGGAATTAATTCTTAGAAGAAATATTGAAGTTGTGACATAAATGTTTAACTAATGGGGGTATGCTTATGGACAGGTGATGCATTTGTGGGAGGATTCATCTCACAGTTGGTCCAGGAAAAGCCGATTGCAGAATGCATTAGAGCAGGTTGCTATGCAGCAAACGTTATCATCCAGAGACCTGGTTGCACCTACCCTGAGAAGCCTGACTTTGAGTAAAGCCGGCTATTCATTCTCTTTGGTGGCTGGCACCAGCTTTTATTTACTTATATTATAATTATTGAGAGATTCTTGGAGTACGATTCATTGGAGGGATTTGTACTGACCTCCAATTCACCCAAGTACCCAACCTTATTTTTCATTTCACAAAGGAGAACAAGCCAGCTCTCATTCAATAAATTGTAGGGCGTTGTAATGTTGTATGTTTTAATGTTCAGTGGAGGCATATTTTGGATAATCTACACGAGGCTCTATGTTCCTTGTCCATTGCCTACTTTTATCATTCAATTGCCTCCGTGATTATAATATTATATCATACTGGTAACTAGTGCTACTATACTAAATGAGCCTGGTTCGAACTTGAGCAAGTGTGTCAAGTTCGAGACTTCGAGCTCAATTTGATAATAAAAAACTCATGATATAACGCGTCGAACTCCTTTGATAACTTCACTTCAGCTTTTAACTTGGTGTCATGCAATTCCTTTCTCTCCGTTTGTCTCATTCACTATTTGTTAATATTTTTGTGTTTCTAAATCATTTTTTATTATATTCAAGTTGTACGGTTTTACCAATTTAATATTAATTAAACAAGTCCTGTTTTAAGAACATTCTCTTCTCACCTCGTAATAATATTAGAGGGATGAAGGAAGTATAAAATATCATAATGACGGTCTTTTGATGTTAACATAAATAATCAAAGATAAAATAGGCAAATAAGCTCTCGAACTATTTGTGATTTTTCAATCAGACCCTTGAATTTGAATAATTGCAGATACACCCCCCAACTCATTGAAAACGATGCGATCGAATCCTTTTTTACCTAGGGATGGACTGGGCCGGGCCGAACCGGCCCGGAACCGGACCGGCCCGCTACTGTGCGGGCCCGGACCGGACCGGGCCCGGTTGGCCGGTTCCGGGCTTTTAGCCCGTTTTGGCGGGTCGGGCGGGCCGGTTCCGGGCCCTGTTTTTGTTGAACCGGCCCGGGCGGTTCGGGCCGGGCCCGGTTCATTTTTTTTTTTTTTTTGGTTTTTTCAATTTTTTTCTTTTCCTAGGGTAGGGCTGGGTGTTTTAGGGAGGTTTGGGGCGTGGGGGTGAGGGGGGGGGGGTAGGGAGATAACAAGAAAGTCAAAAAAAAAAAAAAAAAAAAAAAAAACATTGAACCGGGCCCGGCCCGGCCCGGCCCGGTTAGGCCCGGACCCGGTATCAACCCGGGCCGGTTCCGGGCCCATGTAACCCGAAAAAAAGCCCGCCCGGGCCCGGCCCGGAACCGGAACCGGCCCGGCCCGGGTCCATCCCTATTTTTACCTGTTTGTGGGGGTAAGAAGATGAAATATTACCGGCACCAGCAGGTTAAAAGGACCTGATTGCATCATTTTCAATGAGTTGAAGGGTGTATTTGCAATTCTTCTAGTTTAGGGACCTGATTGCAAAATCGCAAATAGTTCGAGGGCTTATTTGCCTGTTTTCTCAGAATCAAATAACTAACCTGCTACACATTAATGTGATTACCAAATGACATATTGAACTAGTATAAAGTGAGTCAAACATATAGATTACAAAACAAGCATCCAAATCACGATCAACGCCCAAAGATAACAATGCCAAAGTAGTTTATGACGCACATGATTTCATATGAAGTAATTTATGTATTGTTCATATTAAAGATGCATTAAATTCATGTTCTAAAAGGCGCTAGTCGAGCATAGAAATAATGTTTTGGCTAGGAGGGGACTAATAAAAAACATAAGAATTATATATTTATTAGTATTTTTGCATAAATATGAAATAATACTGAGTAGTGTTGTGTGTGTCTATATATACACATATTAACATGCATGAAAGATAAATTGTTACATTTAAAAATTTCCAAGATATGACTAAAACATATTGAGTTTCTCAAATATGAGTAGCTATGTTTTTTCCCAGAATATGACTAAAAATCGAAAAAAAAAAGAGAAATACTTGCACTAATTTCAGCCGTGTAAAAATATTGCACTTTATGAACGCGTATAACACAACATTTATAGCACTTTATGACGACATTCACTGCACAAACTGACATTGACCAGATTTTTAGTAATTGTAGGAACATATAGCATGTTTTTGAGAGTAAGCGAGTGAGAGGAGTTATAGGGTGACAGAAATGATGAAAAACCAGTAGACTTAATAGCCAAACCTTGTCCATTGCCCATTAAGAGCTTATCAGTAGTCATAGCAGATGCCTCATGGTGTTGAACGTTTGCAGGGTCAGGAGTGACATGATGTGTTGCACCTGAGTCAGGAAACCAATGCTGGATTGAAGATGTAGGTTGATTAGGCGCAGGTCCCAGAATTGAAGCATTAGCATAAGCCCATGCTGCAGAAGGATGATAACCTGATGGATTAAAATGAGACTACCAGTTTGATGATGAGATTTCAGGTGGAACAGGATTCTGAATAGGATGATTAGATGATGATTGATGATACTGCATCATAGGTGAAAGAGGTAATGGTGCAAGTGGAGGTGGTCTAGTCATGGAGTATTGAGAATATGTAGATGGAGGTTATGATAATGAAAGTTAGAATTGAACCTATGATAGCACATGAGTGCATTGTGACCTTGTTTGCCACAGACCTGACAAGTAACTGAGGAGCGTCCACTTGATCTGCCTCCTCCACGATAGCCACCTCTTTGATTAGCATTACGTCCTCTTCCTCGAAATTGATTACCACCTCATTGAGCATGTTCAAACTGAGCAAACTGAATAGAGTTTTCCTCAAAATTTTGTTGGTTAACCTGTTGTTGAGTACTCTGTTGTTGATTGTTGTTGATAGACATATCTTCAAGGCGATCCAGATTGGTTGAGAAAAGTGTTGACTGAGAATTCTGTGACGCAACATGCAGTTTACGAAGTCGCAATTCTTTCGCAAGAAGAAGTGATTCTACTTAAGAATATTTAGTAGAATATTTAGTTGGATCTAAAGCACTGCGAGCAGAGATCGATGACACAAGTGACTCAAATTCTTCAGGTAATCCTTCATGTATCACATTGATATGATCCTTCTCTGAAACTGGTTCGCCAATGGACATCAGGTCATCAGTGATTGTCTGAATTTTGGACAGATACTCTGCTATGTATCTTTCACCTTTAACCATCGAGTGCAACTCAGACTTGAGTTGTCTCGCCTTCACAATGATATTGGACTGGAAGAATTTGTGTAGTTCATCCCAAAGTTGATACGAGTGAGTAAGTGAATGACTCAAGCATGTAGACTCGCAGATATAGACGATAGAAGCCGGGAGAAGAACATTTGATCATGCTGCTCCCAGGTAACAAAAGCCCCGTTGATCGTCTTACTTTCTTCTTAGTTTTCACTAGTGATGTACCGTGAAGGTATCTCAGGATCAATAACATATTTCAGAAGTTTTTGAGCATGAAGAACTGATTCAACATGATGTTTCCATACAAGATAATTGTTTGAATCAAGTTTCAGAGGAAGAGTATGTGAAAAGCTCACCGGAAATGGAGTATTTCCGGTGGAGACGGAAGTGGCGGAAGTAGTTGAAGAAGACACCATGGTCGAAGAACTAAAAGCTCTGATACCATATTGATAAACAGAGCATAACAGAATTCAGAAGAAATGCTCAAATGATATTATTGATGTGTAAACCACTTTACATACTATTTATAGAAATGATATAGAAACTGCTAGAACTAACTACTATACGAATGACTTAACAGTAGTCGGTTAGTTAGGTATATATCTAACAAACTATATTCCTAATAAGCTTTTTAAAGCATGGCTCGATTGTATGGGTAATTGTGCTCCAAACGGAATTATAACCGACCAAGATCGTGCAATGCAAAATGCCACACAAATTGCTTTTCCAAACACGAGACGTCGTTGGTGTCTATGACACATAATGAAGAAGCTCCCAGAAAAAATGAAAAAATGGGAGGACGTACTAAAAAAGAAGACATAATGCATGATATACACAAAGTGTTTTATGACTAAATTCATACAAGAATTTGAATAAGGCTGACCAACAATGGTGCAAAGGTATATCCAACAAACCCTTGTATAAATTGGGTCCAAACATCTTTTGTCTGCGTACAAACAATATATGTTTGTAACTCTCTGTCTGTAGACAACTAATGATTATTGTAGAACACTAATGATTATTGTAACAATTATTCCCTTGAAGAAGATGAATGGCTTTAAGTGATGTACAATGAAAGACATTGTTGGTGTCCTTGTTACTTGAAGCCTACATTTTGGGCGAGTATGTCTACAACCTAGCGAAGTGAAAGCATGCAAGCTCGTTTCGATGATTATGTGCACTCGTAAACTAGTTTGAAGCAATTTGTGGAGTAGTATGAATGTGCATTGAGAGCAAAAGTGAAAAAAGAGTTTCAAGCCAATATTCATTCATTTTCCAAAATGATTCCACGCGTTACCACATTTGCAATGGAAAAATAGTTTCAATGTGTTTACATACTTGCAAAGTTCAAGAAGTTTCAAAATGAAGTGATTGGTAAGGTGTATTGTGACCTCTTGCATTGTGGTGAAGAAATACATTTCATGGCCAAGAGCATATAATGGTAAATAACTTTTGAAGGACTGTGAAGTTCATTGTTGAATATGATACATCATGTCGTGTAAGAATGTGTAGTTGTGACTTATTTGAGTTTAAACGCATTGCGTATAGACATTTGATTACAGTTTTCATTCGTAATGGAGTCAACGTCTTACCAGATTGTTCATGACAAAATGAAGAAAAGTTGTGAAGAGAGCTTACACTTGGGTCAAAATGAATTATGAAAGGTGGGTCACGGTGGTGGAACAACAAAGGTTTGATAAATTGTGTCAAACATTTGAAACCTTTGCAAACACAATTGTAGATGATGAGGAGAAATACAAAAAGCATAATTATTTGGTTGGAATCCCAATTACGTGAGTATAGTCACCCCGTAGCCATCCATCTTCTATTTGTGGTACGATGACACAAGTGTCGGATATAACCACAATGGTACAAGATGACCACAACCAACAAATTTTTAATCCAAATTGTTCAAAACACAAAGGTGCTCCAAGAAATAATAGGCACAAGGGACCACTTGATAACGGAAGTAAGAAACAAAAGATTAGTAAATATTTTTTCCAGACACTAGTTGTCTGTATACATACAATTAACCATCCATGCACAAAATATTAGTTGTTCGTGCACAGACAGTAAGCATCCCTACACAGGCATTACTTGTTCGCGTACAGACACTAATTGTTTGTGTACAATTAAAGTCGTATTTTAATATTGTGCTCGTATCTACCTCTTCAATACTCGAGATTTTTTTATGTTCATATGTATAAGAAAACAAGGCAAAGTGAAATGGTGTTGAGGGAAATGAAAATGGATCCAAAGTCAATGTTGTTGAAACTACAATTACAATCACATTCACTGATGATTTAGATTTGAATCTTTATTTGTTTTGAATTAATGTTGT